AGGGCCAAGATGGGCCAAGGGCATCACCTGGGTTTTACTGGAAGTTATTAAGGAAGTCACATTGGACACTGACTCAAAGGTGTTCATGTCAGACGCCACTGGCTTTTGCAGAATTACCTTTTTTTTAATATCATTGGGAGGCAACCTGCAGGTCTTTGACATAGAGAAATTAGATTTTAAATTTAAAACTGCCATCTCATGTTGTGGGTCTACTTAGAGGTCTAAGAATACTATGAAAAAATTTCAGCTATGCATGTATTTATGAAGAAACTTGTATAATCCATAAATTTAGAGATTTGCAAATATCTTGGAAGATAGGTTCATTCATATATCTCATGAGTGTTTGGGTTTTCTAAACAAATTCAAGTTCCTACTTAAAGGCCATATTAGGTCTGGCTGTACTCTGAGCAGGTTACACTTTGGAAGGAATTGAGGCCTATTTGTCAGTTGCTGCTTTTCACAGAACTGGGTCAGGAGGGAGGAAAGATTCCAAGCCATGCATTTGCCTGGAAAGTTGACTATAATTTGGAGGTAAATATTTTAAAACAGTGTGTCATTCTACAAGTGTAAACAAACTTTTAAATGCTGCCTTAGACCCTATTAGGCCTGCATCTGGTAAGATGAAATGCACTGGTATATAGCTCCCCAAGCCACTCAAGTGTTTCTGGGACCTTTGCAGTACTGCAAGTGCCTCGCCTTAGAGCAGCCTTTCCAGTTTTCACAAGAAGACATGCCCCGAGTGCGAAAGAGGATTTACAAGGAGCTGTGTGAGTGCCGGCTCATGGACTGAACCTCAGCAGGGACTCTGGAAGTCTGACCAAGTTGGAGCAGATGGTTTGTTACTTGAATCTCCAAACACTTATTTGAATTTTTACAGATATTTCAGATCAGTGGTATTGGGCCACTATTGTTACCTCAAATTTACTTTTTGCCCTTATTCATTTCTCCAGCTACCATGTACTTTTGTTTAATGTTCAGTTTGGTTTCTTTTTTTTATTTTATGGATTTTGTGCATCCCTCCATATTTAATATTTATTCAAATGCATGCATATAGACAGAGCATGCAGTGAAGAGTATTAAAAAAAAAGCTTAGTAGATTTGGTGCAGCTTTTGAAACTTAGTTAGATGTGAACTGAATACAGGTTTCAAATTTAATCCCAGCACTTAAAAATGCAAGATGTTTTTGATACAGCATAACTCTGAGAATAGTAGATGTTCCCTGGAGCATAAAGGGTAGCTAGGAGTGGCTCTGATAAAGCCAGGCCTGTTTTACATTTACCAGTGGCACCTTTCATTGACTTCCCTCTCCAAGTGAGTCTTCGAGTGAGATGCATTGCTTTTGAAGGGTGAGATGGAAGTGACCATAAACAGATTTAGGTGTGTTCTGTTTATGGAGGCACGCTTGTAAGCATAGCATCTGCTTTGGAAAGAGTTGATCAAGATGTGAGAAAAAGACAGCAACCTTGGGGGCCAGTTATCTTACTTAACAAATGAGAGATTTCAGTCGGATTTTAAGGATTATAATACATGGCCTACATCTCAAAGGTTTTTGCTGGTACACTGAGTTCTTTGGTTTTTTCTAGTTTTGACCTGTTAAAAAACTTAACATCCATCAACCAAATGAGATGTTAGTGGTCACCCAGATGAGAATTCCGCCTTTCCAAGAGTAATTTAATTGTAAGTTATAACTTGCCTTGTGTTGCCTCCCATATGCAAGAGATTAAATCAATTTCTATTTCAAGGGTATCTGAAATATAAACATTCAAAGTCTAAGATGGACTTTAAGTCTTTTGGAGGTAGTTGGGGAGAAAGGGAAGGTTATAAAGATGACTCGATTCTGTGGGAGTGCAACCAATGCATAGAGGTTTTTTCCTCCTGTCTCTGTGGTGATCTCAGCAACATGCGGGACTCATTTGTCTTCTGTATAAGCAGTCCTGACATTCTAGCACAGTTCTTTTCCTTTCTGTTGAACCTTATCTTCTGGGGGAGAGGCCAAAGTGGCCCTGTCCTTATACATGGCTGCAGTAAGACTAAAGTAATGGCTCTTACATCTATAATCTGGCCTTTTGTGACATATTTGAAAGGAAAAGAAATAAGGAGTCTGCTCAATTATCTTTTCTAAACCAGGGGAGGAAAAACCTATGTGTAAAAACCTCAGAAGGCCTGTATGGAAAAATGTCAACAAAATGGCAGAAGATACTTGAATTTATGCCTGCTGGGTTTGGAATGTTGAAAAGAAAAAACTGAAATGTTTAGTTTAACTTGGCTGTAAAGTATGGCTGAGAAAAAGCCTGCTGCTGGCATTTGAGGGTTGGGTCAGACCATGTTTACACGTGGGGCTCCCAACACCAGTGTTGACACTGGGAAGCAGCCCCAGCACCTTCCTCCTCAGTGTAGAACCAGGTCAGTATTTCTTACTGTGCTTGAAGTCGTTAAAAAGACTGAGAGTAGAGGCCCTTCAGCTGCTACAGGTAGGGTTGTGTCAGCATTAGGGAAGGTAACAATTAAAAGATGGGAGATGTTTCCAGACATAATTTTACAAATGTGAAATTTTTCAAAATTTATGAGACATCTTTTTCTGGGTTTCTTTTAATTTTTTTTTTTTTTTTTTTTTTGCTATACCAAAGTAACCAGTAACTAGGCTATTGATTCAGAATGTCTCAAACTTCAGAGTAAGGAAGCTGCTGACTTCCTCAATGCCAGAACCAAGCATACAGAAGAGACAAAAAGAATTGTGTCCCTGCAGGAATCTCAATGCCCAGAGCTTGAGCTGCACTAAGGCATAAGCAGGGATGAGCATAGGTGAGCTGGCCAAGGCAAGTTACTCTTTCACTTACAAGCATACTAGGGCACCCTGAAGTGCACTGCTCAGCATGGTTTAGCCTAAATGTTGTATTTTAGAAGTCTGTTTTTAAATGTTTCTGCCATTTATGAAACTTGGTTTCAACACACATAGTTGCTTTTCCTTTCCTTCTTGTCATTAGGCATAAACTTCTATTTAACTCAAATCCTAAATTAGAATGTTTTTCTTCCTGATGTTTGCATTAATTGCTTCCTTGGTAAGAAAAGCATTTTTTGAAAATACTTTGGGCTATTGGTCAAAGAGACAGGCATTGCTTTACTGTTACTAGCTTGGCACTAAACTGTTGAGGGTGCCTACAAGGTAGGCAGATCTTTATGCCTGTTTTTTTGTTGTTGTTGTTTGTTTGTTTTGTTTTTTTGGTGGAGACAAGAGTCTCTGTCACCCCAGCTATAGTGCAGTGGTGCCATCACAGCTCACTACAATCTCAGATTCCTAGCTCAAGTGATTCTCTTGCCTCAGACTCCCAAGTATCTGGGACTACTGGTATGTGCCACCATGCAGCTAATTTTTTCAATTTTTTAATAGAGATGGGGTCTTGCTCAGGCTGTTCTTGAACTCCTGACCTCAAGTAATCCTCCTGCCTTGGCCTCCCAGAGTGCTGGGATTACAGGTGTAAACCACTGTGCCTGGCCAGGCAGACCTTAGGTAAACTAAAAGCTACCTTTTTTTTTCCCCGAAGGGGAAAGGGTCTCACTCTACTCCCTGGACTAGAGTGCAGTGGCATGATCATAGCTCACAGCAGTCTCAAACTTGTGGACTCAAGTGATTTTCTTGCCTCAGTCTCCCAAGTAGCTGGGATTATAAGCATGTGCTATCATGTGGGGCTAATTTTTCTATTGTTTTGCAGAAACGGGGTCTCACTTTTACTCAGGCTAGTCTTGAACTTCTGAGCTCAAGAGATCCTCCACCTTGGCCTCTCAGAGTGCTAGGATTACAGGTGTGAGCCACCATGCCTGGTGTCAAGGCTACTTTTGACCAGCTGTCCACAGGCTGCCCAGTCCTTTCCATCAGCTAGCTTATCAGGCTGTAGTTGCTCCTTTCTATTGATCTTTCCTTTGCTTAAATCTATAGCAATGGCTATAGATTTAATTCAACTTTTAGTTCACTCAGGACTCATAATCCCCCAAGCACAGTTTTGGCTTTTTTTTCTATATCCTATTTAGCATTGAATATGATAACATCCTGAGTGTATAGTGGGAGCACACAATAGCAGACCTAACTGGGACACAGCCAGCACTAGTCTACTCTGAACTGCCCTTTTTCTTTTCTGTTGTGGTTTATTGCTTCCCTGGGTTAGAAGACATAATTGGGGTGTCTGGGTGGGTCAGACCCTATAGGCAAGAAACAATGTATTAATAGTGTGAATTATATATACTAATTACCTGCTCTGCTTAATTATGTTGAGAAACTGAATTATAAAAAACATAATTTGTTTTGTGCTAGGCTCTGCCTCCTGGCCTGTAGATAATTAAGACGACCTAGGGAATACCATCAGAGAAGTGCTAATGTTATTTGGGTATTACAAAAGCAGACCTAGACAAGCTGTCCACTTAAATGGTACCTGTTGGTCAGAAAAAGAATTTATTTAAAGATTATGATCATGTAAAATTACAGTACTCAACCCTACTAGCAAAATATTTTTTTGAAAAATAAACTAAATGCCTTTATAAACTTGTGTTCTCTTGTGTTGAATAACATATACTGTAATTTCTCCCAGTGACATTCCAGTCATGACAAAGTGCATTTAAGAACAGGGACCAGTGTACACCCTAACCAGCCTACCCTTAGAGCAATTTTCTACTATGGTGGAAAGGTTCTTTATTTTATCCACTGCAATAGCCACTAGCCACACTGGCTATGGAGCATTAATATGTGGTTAGCATGGGTGAGAAATTAAATGTTTAATTTTATTTTCATTAGCCACAGGTGGCTGATAGCTGGTATATTGGATAGCAGAGCTCCACAGAAGTCTCAAGTTCAGCACATTAGCTAATGTATAGGGACAAGTCAGTCTACAGATGCCAGCCTGGCTAGATCTGATAGCACCCACTATTGTATTCCCTAATGTTAGTGTACATAGCTGAACTTCCACTTTCTCTGGTTAAAGTGAGAAACAGGTCAGATGCTGTTCCTGAGAGAAAGAGCAAACAAGGGGACAGAGGAAAGACTGTTGTCATATTTAGTGTCTCCAAGCCCAAGAAACAAAGTCATTTTAATTCAAACCCCAATTTTCCTTCTCCAGTCATCCAGAGAATAACTGGACAATGAATCTATTCTTTGTTAATAAAGAAATATGCTTGATGCATATTTTATTTTGATGAGAACAGCCATTCTTTCCCATACATGAAACTATAACTTACTGTGACTATCAAATCAAAATGGAAGAAAATTCTGTACATTATTTATAAATAACTCCCAGAACTCATTCACAGATAGAATGAGAGGAAATTCCAGAACATGTCCTTTACAGGATAGGAAAGAAGAAACAATAAGTTGGTCCAACTTTATTGAAACCTGTTACAGAAGACACAATTCAAATAAGAATCATTGTTTGTGGTTTTCAGGCTTGTAGAAATCTGAGTTATATTTTACTACAAAAGAATATAAAATACATTCATTCAAACTACAGTGTAAAAAGAAGTTTTAAAAATGAATATGTCATTAAATTAAATGTTTACAAATATTCTTTCTAAGCACTTTAAACAATTCAGGTGACCAGTTTGAATTCAGTGAGAAACCTACAAACACAAAACGTGTTCACACTGAGGTGCTTCAGCCCCAACTTCCACAAACTACTGCAAGTTAGAAAACACTTTGTTGCTAAATGAAAAAAACTTACATTTTTTCCACATCAGGGAAAATTATACTAGACTTAACACTTTTAAATGAGCAAGAAGCTCACAACATTAGAGAAATCACCTCTTGCCTTATGAATGCAAAATAAATCCTCTAGACTCCCCTCTCTATAGAGACTATCAGCTCACTATCAAGGCTTGAACCTCAGTAAGCACAATTTGGGAAAGAAAACAGACTTCAGTGTGAGAATTGGCTAGAACAGACATCTCCTGCAGGGAGCTTCTGATTGTTTTTGTTAAGCATTCTCTCAGTCTTCAAGCTCTTTTTTAAAACCCACTCCATTCCCAAGATCACTGAAAGTGAAAAGAATAAATCAGATGGCTCTGACAGCAACCGTCATCATATCAAGGCAATGTTTTAACTTGTGTCTCTGGTATTTCATCCCATTTCCTATTGACAATGTCTCCCCCCCCCCCAAGAGTATTTGAGGTTCTCCACATTACAAACTTATTTATTTTTAGGCATAATATTTACATTTTTTGAAAAATACATTTAGTAAATACTCTTCAAGCCCTGCACCTACTTCTCTGATATGTAAAGCACGGAAGCTTGGTGTCCTCTGGGACAGTCTAAGGCAGGCTTTTGCACCAACTATTTAGGAAGGTTCCTTGACTACTAAGTTTTCCTTTAGAGGTCAGAATTCATAGAAAACAAATTCAGTGTGAAATACCTATTCCTAATTTAGAGCAAAGCTATACAACATAGCAAAATTCCATTTATTAAACTTTATCTCATGCAAACTTAAAACAATAATTCCAGGCCCCAGTATAGATCATGAACCTATTTAAGACTCAAACATGGTAAAACAAATTTCTAAATTTTTCCAGTCTTCCTAAAAGAAGTATAGTGTTTTAATCAACATTATAGATCAAATCTGTTGCCAAGGAATACAGTTTTTGACCTGGTCACAGAAAATCATTCTGGTAACCTGGCAGATGGCCAGGATTCTAATACTAGAATTAAAAGGCATTCTTTTGAATTCTGTCCTTGCTTCCAGCTCAGTAGAGATACTCATCAAAGCTTCGTAAAACTAAGCTGGTTTGAAGACCTTGGGTGTAATGTTCTTCAACAAATTCAACAAACCAAAGGAGTTTTTCAGAGCTCTCACCACTCACTGGTTTTGTGCCAGTTTTCCATAGCCGCCTCTCCCAGCATCATAGTCTTGCCGATACTCATCTCGTACCTTAATTGAAAAGAACACAAAGTTATAAAGAAGATCGGTGTAACAGATCTGCCTCCCCAAACATGTCAGACAAACAGCCTGCTAATCTTTCTACACATAGAACGTTTAAGCAGGACAAACGTACTTACACTCATTGCACTGTGCTTTGCTTTCATTCTAAACCAGTATTCTCAACCTTCCTAGCACCGTGGCCCTTTTAATACAGTTCCCGTGGGCCACGACCCACAGGTTGAGAACTGCTGTTCTAGACTCAGCTACAGGTAGCAGGTATCTAGCCCCTAGCAGAAGTTCAATAAAGATTCCTTGTAGAAACGTACAAAATGTAAAAATGTATATACTATTTTAAGGGTTAAACTAATTTACCAAAACCAATGGATAGTTTTCAGATTTACTTCCAAGGCAACCTTATAGGCACAAAATAGTTTACAGAAGAGTAAATACATGGCTCAGCACCCATAGCTCAGCGGTTAGGACACTGGCCACATACACTGGGGCTGGCGGGTTTGAACCCAGTCCCGGCCTGCTAACCAACAATGACAACAACAAAAAACAGCTGGGCATTGTGGTGGGCACCTATAGTCCCAGCTACTTGGGAGGCTGAGGCAAGGGATTCACTTAGGCCCGAAAGTTTGAGGTTGCTGTGAGCTATGATGCCATAGCATTCTACCAAGGATAACAAATTGAGACTGTCTCAAAAAAAAAAAAAAAAAAGTAAAAGTAAATAAAAATTGACAAAACACCTGTCATCAGGAGTGGAATCTCAGGCAAAGGCTGATCCCAGAGATCCTGCCTACATACCTGGCCCCCAGATCGCCCACGTCCATACTGCCTGCCCTCCTTAAAGCCGGCGTCCCAATCTGTGCGAATGATCCGATCATCCAGACGAGTTCCATTTATGTACCTCATGGCATTTTCTGCATCTGCTCGTGAATAGTATCTTAAGTGTAAGTATTAAGGAACACTAGCATTTCTCCATATGTTTTGGAAACAGAGAAAGAAACATGTAAATGAAGCTGAGTTGTTAAGAAAAAGTACAAAAGCTAATCCTACCAGATGGAGTTCAGAGATAATTTAGCTTGCACAGGCCTGTTTGAGGTTGGTCCAGAAGCACTTTGGGAGTGAAATATGGCTATATTGATCATGATTACCTGGCTATTCCTGTTGATACTTTTCTGCTCCCATTGTCCCCATATTTTGGTTTGCAAAATATAAAATATACTCTGTACAGGTTTAGACCACACACTGTGTACCTCTTATCCAAGAAATAGTGACATGCATATTGGGCACTATGTATTCAAGAACAACTTTCATAAAAAGAGGAGGTGGTCACAGTGCAGGTAGAATTGCCATTGCATTTCACTAGAAGGAAAGGCTCAAAGTATCACCCAGGTTCTTAAACCCATTTAATTAGATCTCCTTAGAATGGTATTCTTAAAAATCTCTATAAGCAATGATGATTATGAGTGGAATTTGAGAAATGGTGATTTATACTTTTTTCTTGTCTTTAATTACATAGGTAGACAAACACTTGCTGAAATTCCAGTATCCAGCACCTCGACAATGCCTAGCATGTAGCGGGCATTCAGTAATTTTATGTTGAATAAATGAAATGAATGCTTAGTGGACAAACAGAGAAACTAGCTAGCAACAGCAGCATCTCTTTAGGCATCTGCCATTAATGACTGTTGGTCTTTGACCTACCAGAAAAATGGAAAAACACAATCTGGGTCTCAGAGACTGATTAGATACTGGCTAGGTTTTCTTTGACTTGAATTTTCATTGTTCTCCCTGTCCCCTGTGAACTATTTTATGCCACTGCTACCAGTGGCAAAAAGCAGAATTTGGGCAACCTACTCCCTTATGTCTGATGGTAGAACAGAAGAAGCTTGCTGAGCCCAGAAATCAAATACCAAAATAACAAGCAGAGAATAGGTTCACAAGCAGAGCTTCTGGTTCAAGTTGGTAGGAGTTAACACATTTCTACTTCTTTCTCAAAGCTACATTAAAATGAAAGGAAAGCAGCATCCACATTCAGAACAGAATGTAAATATCACCAGTTTTCACACTGTAAGAGAGCAGACACATTGGACAGAGATAGGAAGTAGATGAAGGTGGAAGTAGAGGTAAGTGTAGGGATGAAGCTCATATCATTTTTTTTACACAGATAACCCTTCTTAGCTCTATCCTGGTTCGCAGCTACATTAGACACTTAGACACACAAGAAGGATACTCCACAAAACAGAATCCACATGCTGTTTTTTTCATTTTATCCAGACCCATGATGATTTTCTTTATGTCACCACTTTTGCTGAAGAGTTCATAGATTTGTTCTTCAGTTGTGTAAAAGGAAAGATTTCCAACGTACAACGTACAGCTTTTCTTCAGTAATTTTTCTTGTTCTTCATTGTCACCCTACAATTTCAAATAGAGACAAAGTTAAGCAATACACCTTAATAAGAGTCTTGCTTAAATAATATTTCTAAGTATGGTAAAATATTCATTCTGATTTGGAAGTCAAATCTGCATCTCAGTGCCCCACAAATCCTTTGCCAAAAAAGAGAAAAGTTCATATTCTATAAAGCACTTTTGCAAGGTCCAGACTGCTGCTAGCAGAGGGACAAAGCTGAAAACTTATACTGCATGCAACAGTAAAACTTCTACACCAGAGTGCCATGGAAGTAGCATGCCTTTTCCCTTATCCTCAACACTGGATCCTTCTCTAATGGCCCAAGTTTAGGTTCCAAACCTTGACCCAATATTATTAGAAAGGGGTCTTTTATCCTCTGAAGTGAAAAATAAGTGGATTTTCAGAGATTAGTTTCCCACAGAGACCATTCAAAGCAACAGCTGCTTAGACAATTAACATGCTCATATTTTTTAGGAGAAAATGTAGTGATCAATGAAACACAAGAGACCTCATTTTCCTAATGAGTTTCCTAATTTGGAAGACAGGATGAAGCCAGAGACAAGAATATAACTGGGCTTCAGCCAACACCTGACAATCCCTGGGAACAAGATGGCTCATCATGGGCTAGAAGTGGCATTTGAGACACCTTCACAGAAACCAATGGAGCTGTCCCTAGACCTAGCCTCCATATGAGGGAGGACATATGTGATTAAATAGAAGGCCCATCACCTGACCTTTTCTCAGTCCCTTCTGACCCAGAATAGGAGTCTGACATTAACCATATAGTGGGATTCCAACTTGGAGAATAGCAGAGTAGATCCACAGTCACCCTAGAGAGCACTTTTCCAAGACTCTTCTTTCTTCATTTACTACTCCATATGTAATGCTGATCCAGTTTCCTTCACTCTGAGAATGACTCATCTGACCTCTTTATAGCACAGTGCTCAGAGTAACAGATCTCAGTCAAGTCATCACATTCAGTGGTAGATTAGAGAAACTGGAAACCGTCTAAACCCACATCAAAAGGAAACTGATTAAATGGATTGTGGTATGTCTGTAAGTATAGAACTACGCAGCCCCTAGAAAAACGTACATCTACATGCAACAATATGAAATATCTCCAAGATGGAGTGCAAAGTGAAAAAAAGCAGGGTACAGAACGATATGATGGATGTGCTCCAAGTTAAATTTGTTACAAGCACGAACACACACAGATACCACATTCAAGAAACTGGCAAGTATGTCTGCCTCAAGAGAATGCAGGTCAAAGACTTACATGTATACTGTCTTAAGAGTTAGGCCCCAATTTATCCCCATTTTACACATTAGGAAATACAAGTAACGTCTAAGGTCACAACTAATTACTCAGTAGTTGTACATAGTAGGTGAATTAAAACCTAGTCCTAGGGTGATTGGAGGGAGGAGGGAGGGGATTTGGTGGGATCTCACCTCATGTACATAATGTGAGGGTATTCAGCATACACCATGGGCAAAGGACTCTTCTATAATTTGGAACTTTCCCTTTGAAGTGAGAACACTATAACCAAAAAATCTGTACCCTTATATTAATTTAAAATAAAAATAAAAAATTTAAAAATAAAAAGTTAAAAAAATATTAAAAACCTACTATTATTCCCAATCCCATACTGCCCTTATAAACCCACAGGATGGGGTTATAATGTTATGATAAAGACTGATTTCAGAACTTTGGAATGAGATCAAAAAAGTAAAATTATGGATAGGACACATTTTCTTTTGTCTCTTTACTCATACATGTAAATAATGTCCAAACAAATAGCCTACATCTTAAGACAATTATGGTGTAAGTACTTAAGGTATATTAATATGGAGTACATTCAGGGAACACTAGAAATTCTGCATGACAGCATCTTTTTTTTTTTTTTTTTTTTGAGACAGAGCCTCAAGTTGTCCCCCTGGGTAGAGTACCATGGCATCACAGCTCACAGCAACCTCCAACGCCTGGGCTCAAGCGAGTCTCCTGCCTCCCCCTCCCAAGTAGCTGGGACCACAGGCGCCGAACCATGCGCCTGGCTATTTTTTGGTTGCAGCCATCATTGTTGCTTGGTGGGCCCGGGCTGGATTCGAACCTGCCACCTTAGGTGTATGTGGCTGGCACCTTAGCCACTTGAGCCACAGGCGCCAAGCCAATGACAGCATCTTAATTTTTTTTTTTTTCAGTTTTTGGCCAGGGCTGGGTTTGAACCTGCCACCTCTGGCATATGGGGCTGGCGCCCTACACCTTTGAGCCACAAGTGCCACCAGACAGCATCTTATTAGTATCTAAATAAAGCTAACAGGCTTTAGACTGCAGAGATGAATAATAGCAAAAGCAGAATTCTTTCAGTTTTTTCTTTCTTTTTTATTAGAGACAGAGTTTCACTTTATCACCCTCAGTAGAGTGCCATGGTGTCACACCTCACGGCAACCTCCAGCTCTTGGGCTCAGGTGATTCTCTTGCCTCAGCCTCCTGAGTAGGGACTATGGGCACCTGCCACAACGCCTGGCTATTTTGTTGTTGTTGTTGTTGCCCTTTGGCTGGAGCCAGGTTTGAACCCACCACCCTCAGTATATGAGGCTGGCGCCCTACTCACTGAGCCACGGGCACCGCCCAGTTCTTTCAGTATTTTTTTTGGAGAGAGAGCCTCAAGCTGTCGCCCTGGGTAGAGTACCGTGGCATCACAGCTCTCAGCAACCTCCAACTCCTGGGCTCAAGCAATTCTCCTGCCTCTGCCTCCCAAGTAGCTGGGACCGGGCTGGATTCAAACCTGCCAGCTCAGGTGTATGTGCTGGCACCTAAGCTGCTTGAACCACAGGCGCCAAGCCAATTCTTTCCGTTTTTATCTTGCAGAATGCTTTAAATTCAAGTTGGTTATGATGTGGAATTGTCCACCCACCTGCAGGGGTTAATTAGTGACGTCAAATACCGTGGGAAGTATGCATGGACCTTTTTTGTTGTTGTTGCTAATCAACTTTCATTTAGTGTTTGTGTATAATGTGTAGTCCAAAATAACTCTTCTTCCAGTGTACAGCAGAAAATAAAAAAGTTGGATACCTCTGGCAGAGAACAGTAAAAGTGATACCATGCCTAACACTAAGCATTTAAAAATGGTTGATTGGTTTGGCACCCATAGCTCAATGGTTACGGCGCCAGCCCCAGTGGTCGCTAGTGGGTTCGAACTGGCCAGGACCTGCTAAATAACAATGACAACTACAACAACAAAAATATAGCCGGGCGTTGTGACGGGCGCCTTGTATAAGGTGACCAGACGTCCCAATTTCTAACAATTTGTCCCATGGTGTTTTTAAAAAGTCCCAATTTTTGGAAAGAATGCATGCCAAGTAGGGAACAGCGGGAGAATGGGAAGGGAATATACGGTTTTCGGCTGCTGAAAAGGTTAATGTAACTCCATTTGGGAATGAAGAGGTTAATGTAACTTCATTTGGAAATGAAAAGGCTAATGTAAACTCCCTACTGCCCTCCTGGGCACGGTTGCCCAGGTGGAATCCGTATCAGGAGATGGCTCCTTCCCTTGCTTTCTAGGCAAGGACAATTAGCTCAGAAGTAGCCAAACTGTCTGGAACAAATAAGTAGCCCCCCTCCTCTCTAGAGTAAGATGACCAGACATCCCGCTCTTGCTGAAACAGTCCCGATTTTTAACAATTTGTCCTGCGGTGTTTTAAAAAAGCCCCAATTTTTGGAAAGAATGCACAACAAGCTAGGGAACACGGGAGAACAGGAAGGGAATATACGGTTTTCGGCTGCCATGTGGCTATTTCACCAGGATATGCGTTTTATATTATTTTTGTTAATTTTATAATGTTAAACTTTAATAATAACAAATAATAGTTGAGAACTGCTTATCCAGAACTGCTTATCAAAAGTTTGCATTGTTGTCAGGCCCCGCCCCCCCCATGGTGTCCCGCTTTACCAATGTTAAAATCTGGTCACCTTAGCCTTGTAGTCCCAGCTACTTGGGAGGCTAAGGCAAGAGAATCGCTTAAGCCCAAGAGTTAGAGTTGAGCTCTCACCGAGGGCGACACAGTGGGACTGTCTCAAAAAATAAAGTAAAATAAAAACTGTTGATTGAGTGAATGAATTTAAGAACGTTCTCAATTTGGCTTCAAACAAAATTTATTTTTTCCTACCCTACTAACACACTTTTCACATTCTTCACGACTACCTTCTCCTACACGTGCCTTCTCATTTCCCAGTCACTAAGGAACCCTCTCCCCTTTCTGAATCTTCACAGCCCTTCCCTTTCCATTCATTTCTGCTTTAGATTTTGATTACTTGCCTCCATTTACAGTGCCTACTATAGGGTCATAAACTCTTAACGGAGCAGAAAGTGTCTTCCCGCTCCCTCTATGGCTTAGCAGAAGGCTTCGACAACAGTGCTCATTAAAAGTTTACTAAATAATTAGGTTAATGAGCGCCCCCCATCCCACCACCACCTTTGCTGATACTAAAAAGCCTACCTTGAATATCTGCCGTGTTTCCCCTTTCCACAGTATATACTTACATACTCTAAACTAAAATTTCCCTTTTCTGACATCCAGCAATTCTTTGATCTTGATATCCTCAACGGTGCTTAGCTTGCTGGTCCACCTCCCTACCCTGTGACCTCACCGATGGCGGAGTCAGGACTTTGCCTCTCGTCAACTACCGCGCAGAACTTCCCAGTACCATCCTACCAGAGAAGAAAAGGACCGGGGGGAGGGGGGAGGACTCTCGTATCTGGTTTACGAAGGCACATCACCTCCACATACTACAGCAGTGAAAAGGACACTCTTCCCCTCATCACAATCACTGTGCCGAGGCAAAACCCGTGAGAATGGGAGCCACCACTATTACTGCGGCTCAAACCTCTCTGCATTGGCCGGGTGCAGGGAGCGGCTGCAAGGGAACCGGGAAGCAAGGCTCAGATTTCTTTTGTTCCAGAGAAAGTGGCTTCAGTGATACCCAAAAATTCTTCCAGCATCCATTCGCTGCCTCCCCCGCAGGAACTGGAGCCCCACTTGGCGTTTGGGGACACAAGCAGAATGGGGTACGACACAAAGACACAAGTGCAAAGCGTTTCTCAGCGTTCTGGCCCAGGGCCTCCCTCTCGCGCGGCCCGACCCCCCTTACCCGGAAGTGCTGGTCCCGGTACTGGCTCAGCTCCACGTAGGAGTCGCTGCGCAGCGCCTTCAGGAGGCCACCCGACATAGTGCAGAGAGCTGGACAGGGAACTCGGCGACTCCGGGAAAACGAGGCACGTACCGCGTCGGCGGAAGAGGAAACGCGCGGCGGGGGCGGCCGAAAGTGGGACTCATCGTGCCCAATCCGAGCGTGGCAGTGTCGTCATCTGGCAGCGCGGGCGCAGATGTCGTCCGTCGTGGAGCGACGCCGATCAGAAGGTGAGAGCGGGCGTGCTCCCGGTTCCGGGGCGCTGGGAGAAACATGGTTCTCCGGCGGCTGCTGGGCGCCCTGCTACACAGCCCGCAGCTGGTGGAGCGTCTGGCCGAGTCGTGGCCCATCCGACGTGCGGCGCAGCTCACAGCCTTCGCCCTGCTGCAGGCCCAGCTACGCGGCCAGGACGCGGCCCGCCGCCTGCGGGACCTCGCGGCTGGGCCTGCAGGGTCCTTGAGCCGCCGCGCTGAGCGATTCAAAGACACCTTCACCCAGGAGCTACGCCGCAGCCTCCGGGACCGCCCGGGGTCACCGCCAGGTAACCAGAGGGGCCCAGGTGCTAGCACTTAACCCCTGCCTGGGCCGGGTCGAGGTCGCTTACTTTTCCTTTTGGGCTCTACATCGGCCTCGGCGTTAAGGAATCATCCCGGGCAGTGAGCACGGCTTCGAATCCCGACTCGGATTGTTGGCCTGCGGACGTCCTATGCATAAGAACTTAGGCTAAACCGACATCCCGGTTGAAGTCCTGTGATTGGACAGGGCACAGTGTGGAGAAAGACCCCGAAGCCTGACAGAGGTATAGACTGGACTTGGACACAGCATGTACCGAGAGCCACAGAACGAACCACAGCCAGAGAGAGAGCCTTCCCTCCGCAAATGGGACTAAAACTCTTGGTGGATGCAGCTGCTTCTGCAGCGCTATAGCAGGACACTTAATTCCAGGGAAGGCCATGGATGGAGAGACAAGCCTGCAGCTGCCCAAATCCTCTGATTAAATATGTGAGCTAAGAAGCATGAGTGTAGTACTTCTCAGACAAGATGGATACTGGGGGCTATAGGCAATGATGGCAATAATAGTTAACACATATTGAGCACTGTGCTGGCACTTAATATTTGCACTCTATGTAGGCCCTCTGACTTATTACAACCACATTCATAGAAAGAGGTGAACTACTTCTTAAGTTGTCCGAAGCCTTAAGAGTGGGATGTGAGCAGAGTCATTTGACTCCAGGGCATAAGTCACAGCTCTTTACAACATTTACACTGATGCTCAATGCCCATCTTCCCCCACCATCACCACCAGGCAGTGAGAGTACTGCTTACCACCCGACAAGCTACCCAGATTCCTATTCCCCACTTTAGACACCCTAGGATACAAGCCATTATTATTGTCTAACGAATGGACCCTTGAATAAAAAACCCATTGTAAACAGAAATTTGATGCTCCTAGCTCAATTTCTGATCATTTTGAATTAGGCTACAAAGTTGATCATGCACTCTAGGAAGCTTGAAGCCATAGGGAAAACTTTCAGGCTGGTAACCAGGTACTGAGCATTGTGTGTTTGCTGTTCCCACTGGGGTGGGATGAGAGAGCCTAAGACCCACAGGACTACTGAGAAGATAGAACATCTGGCCTCCCTAATCTGGGAGAAAGATTCTTTTTGGGAGAGGGAGGAGTGATTTTTAAGGGCAAGGTGCAGGAATGACTGGAGAATTTCCCACCATTTCTTAGGTACAGGAGAAGAGAATGAGGAGAAAATCTCCAGACTGATTTGTATGGGTAATAAACACTAAGGCAGGTGGCACCAAAGTGCCATTAAGTACACTGCCACTCACACTTCCATGCTTAAAGTATACTTAGTAAGAGATGTGCCTGTTGAGCCAGGGGACATAATGTTGTGGACTCCCAAGAATGACACAGTGTTAGGTGGCAGGCTGCTCAGAGAGGTGTTGTACAGATTGGGAAATGGGCAGAGTAGAAGGGTCTTTCTCAAGATTACACACTAAGTGGTGACAGATGAGTGACCAGAACTTGGGTCCCTTGAGCCTGAGCCTCTTGTTCTCTACTTTGCCACACTGCTTTCCAGGTACCTGGAAGGTCAGATTGGCCTTAGGAAGCCAAAGGGTTGTCATGATAGGAAGAAGTAAGGCACCATGAAAAGTTTGAGAGAGGTCATTTAAGAACGTCATTAGCAGCTCATTGTCTATTTTCACAACCAGGTGCTATTATATATTTAAAACATCACAGTGGCTAGAAGGAATAGGGCAGGAATAGACATTAGTTGCCATTGGTTACATCAAGGTCCTTTGGGGACCTTGACTTTGGGACTGTGACAGGTCAGATCTTTGGTCTCTTAGGGAAGAGTGCCAGCTCACACAGAAGGCAGAACAGCCAACAACTGTCCCCAGGAGAGGCAGCAGTGGGAATCCCGAAGGAGAACCACAGCCCTTTCCTAGTATCCCAGCCCAGCTGCCCAAGCAGAAAGTGGAGTGACATTTTGTGGCTAGATCTTGGGCAGTGGCTGCTCTGTCATAGTGTCAGGCTTCAGCCCCCAGCTCCATGATGTGAAGACTGAGATGGTCTCTCCAAGCCCCATTCAGCAGGGAAGACAGGGCTGGTGGATCCTCCAGGGTCAAATGAGGAAACATGAGCGTCTCATTCTTGAGGTGAATGCTGCACCTCTCCACAGCACGCCTGGTTGTGCCAGGCGTCACCACAAAGAGGCGGCAGAGCCATGGCCCACCAGCCTCTTGGCAGGCTGATCGTCTGGAGAAGGTTTTCAGTGCTTGGCACAAGACCCAGTCTTCTGTCCCACCCATGTCCACCACTTCTACAGGTGACCCCAGGCCTGGGAGGTGGAGAAGGTGCTGGGGGGGCATGTAGGTATGGGTAAAGAGAAGCGTGTAGTGGGTGGGGGTGCTTGGGAGCACAGGGGTGTGGACCACCTGCTCCAGGTACTCCAGACCCGGAACCAGACCCCCCTGATGCAGGCAGCCAAAGAAGAAGGCACCCAGGGCGTTGAAGAGAAACAGGGTGCCCTTCCAGGGCACAGGCTGGGTCTGGGGACTGCAAAGCAGGACTAGGGGAACCAGGAGGGGAATTAGGAACCGAGCTTCCTGGTGGCAAAAGGCAGATAGCAAGGCCAGGGGCATGAAGTAAAGGAGAAGGAGGTAAGGTCTGGGGCTGGGCAGTTGGCTCCGGGCACCCAGTGCCCTCTGGAAGCCCATTTGTGCAAAGGCTTGGAGGCAGACCTGGAGCTGTTGCCAGGCAGCCTGCAAGGCCTGGGCATGCAACACCCCAAAGAGCAGAAAGCCATTGACTGCCAGGTGAGTGAGCCGCATGTGTGTGCCATGCCGGGCCAGGTTTTGGGGATCGAGGTTATAGTGTAAGAAGTTGACAGGTGTAAGAACAAGGGGACTGGATCGAGAGGGGCTGGAGAAGTACCAGCTGTCTGTGGCTACAAACACTGCTGCTGTGAGGGCCGCCCCTGGGAAGAGTGTCAGGGCCTCTCTGGCTAGGGACTTGAAACCAGGGTTTGTGGCTCCATGAGTGCCCCAGAGGAAAAGGGGGACAAGAGCAAAGGCCAGAAAGGTGGGCCGGTTGAAGAAGCCCGCAGCCACGATGCCCCCAAGAAGCCAGCTGTGCCACCATGGACCTGGAGCAGACTTCTTAAGTGTGGGGCTCCTGATTATACGGGGGGACATAAGCACCAGCAGCCACGCAAAGAGCAGCCCCTCAATGTTGTTGGAGAAGGTCCTTGTGTAGAAGACCAGAGTGACGTAAGAACCAGACAGCAGGACCAGAGCATTCCAGCGATTCGCCCCCCACAGTGGGGCCAGGTGGTACACAGCCCCATCTAGGGCAAAGGAGAAAGCAGTGAGGAGAAGCCGGGGCCCCACCAGCAGCACATAGCCACTCACCAGGCCAGGCCATGGCCCCAGCTCTTCCCAGAGCCTGAGCAGCCAGAATGTAGAGCCAGAGGTCAGTAGAGGGAAGACCACCGTGCGGCAGGAGCTGCTGGGGTAAAACTCCCAAGGCCGGGTGGCCTGCACACCCAGGATGTCCTCTGCAGGGAGAGAGGCAGAAGTGAGTTGATTCCAAACTTAGGAATGAGATGGGCAAAATTCTAAGATGGTACCCAAGATTTCCCACTTCCCTGCTAATCCCTGAGACTGGGCACAGGACGGCTTTTACTGCTGTGATTAGGTTATGTTATATGGGAGCCTGGCCATAAAATAAAAGGACTATTGAGTGGGCCTAACACCCCTGTAAAAGCAGGTTGTTCTCCTGGTGAGAACAGAAGAGGCAGAGATTCAAAGCAGGAGGAGGATGTGATGTGCCACTGGTGGCTTAAAGATGCAAGGGGACACTGGCCAGAAATGTGGGTGGCCTGTAGAAGCTGATAGCAAGAAAACAGAGACTTTAGTCCCATAGCTGAAATGACTACATTCTGCTAGAATTAGAGAGCTTCCAGACAAAATCCCAGCCTTGCCCATACCTTGATTTCAAACTCATGACACCCCGAGCAGAGAGTCCATGCAGGACTTCTGATCTGCGGAACTGTGAACTCACAGGTGCAGTCTGAAGCTGCCAGGTTGGACGATTCTTGATGCAGCAATAGGAGTAAATACGGGGGAGCTCCGGCGAGGCCCCACCTTGTGAAGGGGGCAGAAGGAATATGCCTGGGAGATGGGCTGACAATGTACCCTGGAAAAGGGTAATAGACGAAGAGGCTTTATTCCTCTTCTCAGCGTTCTAAGCCCTCACCAATTGGTCAGAAACTCATCTCTGGGATTGTTCTCCAGGAAAGGGGTGTGGAGGGGATGGAGATGAGCCATCAGGATTATTGTCAAAGGAGATTAATTTTGTGTGTGATACCCTAAATCTTTTATAAGAAGAATATATCCAAGTAGTACTTCTACCATTAAGAAAATAAGTTGGGTGCAGTGGCTTTTGCCTGTGGTCCCAGCTACTCAGAGGGCTGAGGCAGAAAGATCTCTTGAACCTAGGAGTTTGACACCAGCCTGGGCAATATAGTGAGACCTCATCTCTAAAAACGTAACTAATTTTAAAAGGTAAACAAACAAACAAACAAAAAAACCAACCTTGTTGCCTGCTCTGTGACTCTGCATCCTAATGCCCCCAAAATCTGAGAGGTGGGGATGAGAGTTCAAACTCTTAATTTCTGCAACTCCACTCCAACCCCCATTGTCCATGGCATTTTAGGCTTGATAGCATTGCTGGTTGTTCAGAGCTTCTTACGTGGCCTGGGGATCATTCAGGCTCATTGCTTCTGCTATTTACTCCTCCAGCATTTTATGTATCTATGTCAGATGGTAAAAGGGAAACAGAAAATCTAGGATCAGATCAATCTGGCTGCTCTTTACTGGCTCAGGTTTTGGTTATTGTTATTGTTGTTATTTAGAGACAAGGTCTTGCTCTGCTGGTGGGGCTAGAGTACAGTGGTGTCATCAGAGGTAACTGCAGCCTCAAACTCCTGAGCTCAAGAGATTCTCCCACCTTAGCCTCTGGAGTAGCTGGAACTACAGTTGCATACCACCACACATTGCTAATATTTTTTATTCTATTCTATTATTTTATTTTATATTTGTTTTTGAAACAGTCCTACTCTGTGCCTTGGGTAGAGTGCCATGATGTCACAGCAACCTCAAACTCTTGGGCTTGACCAATCCTCTTGCCTCAGCCTCTCAAGTAGCTGGGACTACAGGTGCCTGCCACAATGCCTGGCTAGTTTTCTATTTTCAGTAGAGATAGGGTCTCGCTCTTGCTCAGGCTGGTCTGGAACTCCTGAGCTCAAGCGATCCACCTTGCCCCAGTCTCCCAGAGTGCTAGGATTACAGGCATGAGCCACTGTACCCAGCCTAATTTTTTAAACAGTTTTTTAAGAGATGGGATCTTGCTGTTTTTCTCAGGCTGGTCTCAAATTCCTGGCCTCAAGTGATCCTCCTACCCCAACCTGCCAAAGTGTTAGGGTTACAGGCAGGAGGCATTATGTGTGGCCTGGCTCAGGCTTTAAAAATATGTGGGAAAGGGCAGCACCTGTGGCTCAAAGGAGTAGGGCCACCGGCCCCATATGCCAGCCCTGGCCAAAATCTGCAAAAAAAAAATGGCTGTGGCTCAAGGGGCTGAGGCACCAGCCATATACACCTGAGCTGGCGAGTTCGAATCCAGCCCGGGCCCACCAAACAACAATGACGGCTGCAACCAAAAATATCCGGGCATTGTAGTGGGCGCCTGTAGCCCCAGCAACTTGGAAGGTGGAGGCAGGAGAATCACTGAGCCCAGGAATTGGAGGTTGCTGTGAGCTGTGATGTCACAGCACTCTCCCCAGGACCACAGCTTGAGGCTTTGTCTCAAAAAAAATAAAAAATAAATAAAAATATGTGGGAAAGAAGCCTGAACCTTTTAACTTAAAAAAACAAATCCACTTATTAAGCAAAGGTAGCTGGATGTCTGCCCATTATCTAGTCCCTATTCTTCCTTAGTTTCTCTAGCTGGGCACTTGGTCAGGTATAAAAAGAATACTTCCCATCTTTTTTTTTTCCCCAGCTAGGGGTGGCTGTGATACACTCTGACCAATAAGATATGAATGGGTCAAAAGTATGTGACTTCACAAATATGACCTTAAAGAGAATAAGTGTGCCCCATCTCCTCTGTCCACTGGAAAACCTATCTTTAGACTTGATAGCTGACGCTAAAGCAGCCACCTTGAACCATGAGGAAGAAGCCACAAGCCCACAGCACCTGAAAAGCCTCAAGGCCCCTGGCAACCATCCTCATGGCATGCCCTGTACCATCTAGCAGATAAGCTCCAACAAGCAGGAGTCAGAGATCAGTATTACCTCACGTGAACCTACGGAAGAAATGTTTCATTATCTCAGCTCATGTCCTATGTAAGCTTTCCCGACCCCTAGGGAAGCCCAACTCTAGAATTGTTCCACCGAGAAGTCCAACACAACTTTCATTCTAAATGAGCTGTGCTGTCGGTCCAAGAAGGAAAACATCCAAGAGGTATGAGGATCATTCTGAAGGTCAGGAAGGAGAAGTGAAGTCCCCACTTCTAAGTCCTTCTCCCAGAGTGCCTGCTGCCACTTTGCTTGTGGATTTGCAGCTCGTCTGCACAGATATGCTCCTCCCTCTCTACGAGGGAGCCCACCAGCGCCTCAGGCAGACTCTGCTGCAACTTCATCTTAACCACAGGTGGGAGCTTTACCTGCCATGACCTCAGGTGACTGGAAGAACTCATCTGGGTGCACGTAGCCTGTCTGCGGAAGGAGACACCACAGCACTCGGAGCAGGCTCAGGCTGCCCCAGAGCACCCTGGCTGCCATCTTCAGATCAAACTGTTGCCAGAACACTGGGCTGAGAGCCTGGAATGACTTCCCAGCTGCTGCAGATGCTGCTCTGGATCCACAGCTCTGCATCTGTTGGAGGTAACATTGTTAGGTATCATAATGTAAATAACAATATGTTCAAGTATCTGAACAAACTCAAAATTGATCTACATTTAATAAAAATGAGACTGATCATAGCTACTTCTGTTTATTTATTTATTTATTGACAGAGTCTCACTCTGTCCAGGCTAGAGTGCTGAGGTGTCAGCTGACAGCAACCTCAAACTCCTGGGCTCAAGCAATCCTTCTTCCTCAGCTTCTGGAGTAGCTAGAACCACAGGCGCCCACTACAACACTCTATTCTATTTTTAGTAGATGCAGGGTCTCTCTCGTCCTTCTGCCTTGGGATCCCAAAGTGCTAGGATTACATAGCCTTCAAGCCATTAAATGTTCACTAAGTGCCAGGCACTTTTATCCATAGCTTATTTAATCTTTTCCACAATCTGGGGACTTGCTATACCTATTTATGGATGGTGAAACTGAGGCCTCTGTTGATATAGCCTTGTTACTTGCTAAGACTTTCACATCCACTGGAACCTGCCCCTTGGAAGGTGATGGGAATTTACATAACTCCTCTCCATGAGAATTCTGACTCCCTCAACTCAAAGATCAGTGAAAATCTGAGTCCATTGCATGCAGGAGTAACATCTCTGGTGAACAGGAGGGCAAGTTTGACAACCTGTTGGTCACTCCTCCAGAAATAGTGACTTTGTCCTGACTTCCTGACCTTAGCATTTTAAACCCTGGTCTTAGTTATGACTCTCAGCTGTAATGTCATTATGTCATCAAGACAGACATCTTGTCAAGAAGATGAAGTGAAGCAATGGAACAGAACCTGGCAGGCCTCTGGGTACTCACTAAAACCTCATAGAACTTGAAAGTTAAGTCTTGCAGCCTCTACTCAAACTTTCTAACAGAATTGTGTTTTTTTCCTAGGGCCAGTGAATATCTTGGCTTTTAGAATAGAGTTTTTCAGATAGAAAATGAGACCAATGGTATAATACATATGTCAAACCATCACATTGTACCCCATAAATACATATGCATTTATTATTTATCAATTAAAATTTAAAAAGATAAGGTCAAATTAGTGCTGGGATGCAAAAGGTTGGATCAGAATAGTTTTCCTTATAAATAGGAAATATGATTATTACCAGATAAGGGTGGAGTGATTCTCCTACCACAATAGAATGGGAGGATGGGCACAATATCCATCATAAAGGCAAAAACTTGGCTGGGTGAGGTGGCTCACACTTGTAATCCTAGCACTCTGGGAGGCTGAGGTGGGAGGCTCGCTTGGGCTCAGAAGTTCCAGACCAGCCTGAGCAAGAGCAAGATCCTGTCTCTACTAAAAAGAAAAAGAAAATTAGCCAGTCGCAGTGGCAGGCACCTGTAGTTCCAGCTACTCTGGAGGCTGAGGCAGGAGTATTGCTCGAGCCCAGGAATTTGAGGTTGCTGTGAGTTGAGCTAATGCCAGGGCACTCTACCCAGGGTGACAGAGTGAGACTGTCTCAAAACGAAACAAAACCCAAACAAACAACAAAAAAAGAAAGGCACAAACTTTGGAGTCCTTCTGGCCTGGTTCAAATCTGGACTCTGCTGTTATTACCTCATTGCCTTGGACAAGCTGGTTATATCCTGAAATCTCTGGGTCCTCATCGATAAAGTCAGATGATAGTATCAGCTTTGTAGGGTTGAGTGTTATGTAAAGAGTGCTGCATGGAAGGCACTTAGTTCACAGAACTTGCCCATCTAAGTGATCCGTGCAAAGTCACTCTTCCCACTTTTAGTTGAGGCACAAATAATAAAATCCAGGCTACTGGGCTATCACTAACACCAGCGCTGCTTTCACCTTGCCAAGCTCTAGTCTAAGGGGGTGGTAAGTAAGGAGGTCTTTATACCACAGCTTCACAGGTCTGGTTTGGGGCCCTCTGTGAAATTAGATGCTACCAGAAATCCACTGAATTTCTGATTAACAAATTTCCTTTCTAGCATCTGGTGGGGGAAATTGCTCAGGACTTCAAGACAGATCTGCACTTCCAGAGTGCCGATACTGGTGTTTGGCAGGAGGCAAGTGAACCCTATCTGGCTGGCCTTTTTGAAGACACCAACCTGTGTGCTACCCATGCCAAACGTGTAGCAATTATGCCAGAGAACACCCAGCTAGTACACCGCATGCATGGAGACTGTGCTTGGGAATCCACCGTCATGGGGCAACATTTCATTCTCAAAAACAAGAAATTCTCTTCTTGTTATTGGTAGTTCTGAACTTCAGATATTTTTCCCCACAGGGTCAAAAGACACCTGAGTATAGGATTGCAAGTGAAAAAATAGGGGATGGAAATCGGCAGGTTTTCCATTTTTCTTTTGTCTGTGAATTTTTAATACAAATGCAGGAGCGTGAAGCATTAATGCAAGTCAGAATGTTTCCGTGAACAAGTTTCAGCAGTTCAACCTTGTAACAGTTACAAATGACCCTGTTAAATTTTTCTAGACAATGCCAGCATTTGGATTTTTTAAGAACAAGTAAATTTCTTATTGATGGCAACTAAATGGTATTTGTAGAATTTTTATTATACAGTAGATTCCAACCATCACTGTACTTCCTAAACTGAGTTGTCCTACATGCAAATACATGTTTTTAAATGTTGTCTGTCTTCTGAGCTGCTCTTGTTAGTTTGCTATTAAGATACATTGAACTATAAAAAAATATCCAGGCCATGCCGGAGGTGGCGAGTTCAAACCCAGCCCCGGCTAAAAACTGCAAAAATAAATCCTGGTTAGGTGTGTGGCTCATGCCTGAAATCCTAGCATTCTGGGAGGCTGAGGCAGGTGGATCACTTAAGCTTAGGAGTTCAAGACCACCCTGAGCTAGAGCAATACCCTGTCTCTAAAATTAGCCAGGTGTTGTGGTGGGTGCCTATAGTCTCAGCTACTTGGGAGGCTGAGGCAAGAGGATGTCTTGAGCCCAGGAGTCTGAGGTTTCAGTGAGCTATGGTGCCACAGCACTCTAGCCAGGATGACAGAGAGAGACTCTGTCTCCAAAAAATAAATAAATAAATAAATAATAATAATATAATGTTCACCTTGGGTTTTTTTTGTTGTTGTTTTTTTTTTTGTTTTTTGAGGCAATTTCACTTTGTTGCCCTTGGTAGAGTGCCGTGGCATCACACAGCTCACAGCAACCTCCAACTCCTATGCTTAAGATTCTCTTGCCTCAGCCTCCCGAGTAGCTGGGACTACAGGTGCCCGCCACAACGCCTGGCTATTTTTTTGGTTGCAGTTTGGCTGGGGCCAGGTTTGAACCCGCCACCCTTGGTATATGGGGCCGGCACCCTACTCACTGAGCCACAGGCACTGCCCTCAACTTGGGTTTTTCATACATAGCTTTTATTATGTTGAGGTAGTTTCCTTCTATTCCTAGTTTGTTGAGTTTTGGGGTTTGTTTGTTTGTTTGTTTGTTTTAGACAGAGTCTCACTATGGTAAACTCAGTAGAGTGTCTTGGCGTCACAGCTCACAGCAACCTCAAACTCTTGGGCTTAAGTGATTCTCCTGCCTCAGCCTCCCAAGCAGCTGGGACTACAGATGCCCACCACAACTCCTGGCTATTCTTTTTTGTTGTTGTTGCTGCAGTTGTTTAGCTGGCCCGGGCTGGGTTCGAACCTGCCACCCTCCGTGTATGTGGCTGGCACCATAAGCACTGTGCTATGGTGGCTCTGAGCCAGTTTGTTAAGTATTTTTGCTGAGTATTTTTATCATCAAGGGTGTTGAATTTTATCAAATGATTTTCTTTCTTTCTTTTTTTTTTTTAAGAGACAGAGTCTCACCTTATTGCCCTTGGTAGAGTGCTGTGGTGTCACAGCTCACAGCAACCTCCAACTCCTGGGCTTAAGTGATTCTCCTGCCTCAGCCTCCCGAACAGTTGGGATCACAGGTACCCACCAGAAAACCCAGCTATTTTTTTTGTTGCAGTTTGGCTGGGGCTGGGTTTGAACCTGCCACCGTTGGTATATGGGCCAGTGCCCTACTCACTGAGCCACAGGTGCCGTCCTATCAAATACTTTTCTCCTTCAGTAGAGAAGACTCAATCTCTACTAAATAAAATAGAAGGCTGTCCAGGAGTGGTGGTGGGCATCTATAGTCCCAGCTACTCGGGAGGCTGAGGCAAAAAATTGGATCACTCGAACCCAGGAATTTGAGGTATCTATGAACTGTGACACCACAGCACTATACCTGGGGGGACAGAGTGAGACTCTGTTTCAAAAACAAACAAACAAAAAGAATAAAATGCCAAATTCATTACACCTCATTGAGACTCTCAGGCTGCCCTGCACTGATGTGAGCAGTTACAGAACACAGCCCGGGTCTTGGCCTCCTGTTTTCCCTCTGCAGTGGTGGGAAAAAAATCAGCAAGAAGACACCAGGATCCATTCCCCCTTTTCCCAGTGACAGGGCTCAGAATTTCCTCTGAGAACTGCACTCTTCCCTCCCTGCCACCAAAGTACAGCCAGGAGGCTTGGGATTTGATCCTATTCCCAAATTCAAGTGTGGTCTCTGAATGGTTTAAGCTAAATATCTCTCCCCTCCCACTGATCACACTAATTGTGTTTCAGGGTCGGGCAAATGACTTAAGGTCGCCCGGTCAGAGGGACAGGATGGGTGCAGTAAAAGTGGGTCGGAAGCTTCTCAGCATTTCCACTTCCAATGGGATCTTCCCAAATCTCTGCACTCTGACTCTCAGGACCTGAGTCCTTCCCAGTAGGTACCCACACGTGAGCAGCAGTCACCCTGAAAGACTTGGAATTCAATTTGTGTTGTCAGTCAGTTGCAGAATGAGATTTGGTTTTCAGGATGAGATGGGGTCTAGTTTTCAGCAATCTCAGCCCTCAAGTTTCAGGGCTTCAGGGGTCTCTTCTCAGAGCAGGCAAAGAAGCATTTTGTGAACTAAACCAAGAATTTGAATCCCTGGGCTCATTTTTTCCTTTTCTTATTTTGTTCACATTTAGGAGCAAGCAGCCAGTCTGCTCTA